AGATCCAACCAGTCCATCCTAAAGGAGATCAGTCCTGGGTGTTCATTGGAAGGACTGATGCTGAAGCTGAAACTCCAATACTTTGGCCACCTGATGCGAGGAGCTGACTCATTGGAAAAGACCCTGATGCTGGGATGGATTGGGGGCAGGAGGAGAAGGGGACAACAGAGGATGAGATGGTTGGATGGCACCACCGACTCAATGGACATGAGTTTGGGTGGACTCTGGGAGCTGGCGATGGACAGGGAGGCCTGGCATGCTGCAGTCCATGGGGTCACAAAGAGTCGGACATAACTGAGCGACTTTCACTCGATCACTTGATCCCATATAGATCAATACAGAGTGTTGAGAGGAGTCCCCTCTACCACATGGTAGGTCTTTATTACTTACGTCATCTATTTTATACACAGTAGTGTGTCCAATGCCCTCCTCGTCCTCCTCCCAACCCTTCTCCTCCTCACCCTCCTTCTCCTTCATCTACCCCTATAACCCCCAAAATGATATGGGTAATTCTTTTGCCCTAGTCAATCCTACTTCCATACATCCGCAGACAGTCCAGGGATGAGGCGGGTCAGAATGGGCGGGATGAGGAGAGTGGGCAGGTTTCAAGGCAGCTTTAAAGCAGCAGTGGAACTCACTTTTGCTGTGGAGGGTCGGGCGGTGAGGGACCCTGTTTTACCAAAGAACTCTTTCTGTGATCATTCTTGGTTGATTCACTGGGAGTTTAGAGAGAGGAATGTCTCTCTCTCCCTCTCTCTTTCCCTCCCCACCTCCACCCCACCTCCAGCATCTAAAGGGCATCCTTGCTTCAACAACACACGCTTCCTCCTTTCACCTCCTGCTCCCACCAAGGATTCTGCCCATGATGGCATTTTTGATCCCAAAACACTTGGCAAAAATCATACTGTGCTTTCAGTTGCCTGGAATACTTTTTCAAAAGCAGTTTCCCTTTTAATTTCGACTCTCATGATTAAAGCTGGAAAGGCTAGGAAAATGTGTAAAGGCAATACCATCCTGTCTGATCCAATCGCCTAAACATCATAGGGCTCTTCTGAAAGTGTTCAAAGAAGAATTCTAAACCAACTGACCTTGAACTAGTCAAAAATGATGGGAACACAGACTTAATGTAATATTTGATTTTAGAAGTCTGTCTAGGGACTACAGTCATAAGAATCACACATTATAAGTGCAAGGGAATCTTTTGATAAAATAACATTCCTTTTCAATATTTTCTCAGAAAAAAATAAAGTCACTATCATGTAACCACTCAAGGTAGGATTTCCCGAGAAGCTTGATTTTACTCCTACTTTGCTTTTTCTTCTTAGTCACTTGATATTTAGGTATGTCTAGTAAGTGGTTACTCTACATTGTTAAAGGACAGTTTAAATTTTACACTCACCACGGTGGAATAAATTGGAATCTCCTTGAATGGATTAACCAGGAGGAGGATATCCCCAATAAAAGTCTATTAAATGGAAAGAATAGAAATTGCTATCAGACCATATAAATAGCACTTTTAAAGTTAAATAATATATAATTTTAAAATCACTGAGCAAACTATAGAGAATAAATAAAAATCACACTTTAACATCTTGTGAATTGTTTTAAAAGTTTGTAAATAAATAGAAAAGTCAAATTCACATAAAATTAAACCAATAAGCTTGTCTCATTGCACACATAACAAGTGAAATGACGGTCTTAAGTAATTAATTGAACACACAGACACAGACGAAATTTTGAAATAAATAATTACCAAGTGGAATAATTACCTTACATAGAACACTATCACCAAGAACCACACAAAGTATGTTCATTTAAATTGAATACCGACCAGTTCCATTACACTTAAAAGAGTTTGAGTCACATAAAGTACATTCTCTGATCATGGATTATGATGCAAATTAACCATGGACAGCTAGAAAATCACCAAATGTGTGGTGCTTATACATTTGCAAATAACCTATGAGTCAAAAAGAGAAATCATAATGCAAATGAGAAAACATTTTAATTATGATATATCGTAACATGTGAGATGCTACTAGAGATATAGTTGATATGAAAATTATTGCCTGTTAAAAAATAAGACAGGCAGGTAATGATCTAAGTAAATGTTTCTAGGAACTCATCAAATTACATGAAATTATCAGAAATAAGTAACCAACATATGAGCAGAAATGAACGGAATTAGTAAACAAAAGCCATGGAGTGAAAAACTAAAGCTAAAAGGCACTCATTGGAAAAATCAAATCAAAACCTGGTGTCCTAACAAGACTGAGGAAAGAAGAGGAAATGCACAGACCACCAATATCCCAAATAAGACATCACTACAGATCCCACTGACAGGGAAACAGATGAAGAGGCTTTTAGAAATCACATTTTAGTCACCAAGTTTGGATCATTAGATGATGTGGACAATAATCCACATTCTTACCAAAACAAATGCAATAAGATGTCAGAAATCTAACTTGATTTATTTTCGGTAACAAATTGAATCTACGTCTAAAACCTTCCCGCAAAGAAAAGTAAGAATTCACCAGTGAATCCTTGCCAACACTGATATAAAAATAAACAAATTTCATACAAATTATTCCAGAAAGTAGCAGAAGAGGGAACATGAATCACTTCATTTCAAGAGGTCTGCGTAAACTTAGTGTTAAAAACAAACATATTGAAAGAAAATTATAGGCTGTTTTCCTTCATCAAAACACATGCTGAAATAATGAGAAAAATACAGACAAACTGAATCCAATAATACATTCAACAAATAATAAATTTCAACCAAAGAGGCTTTATTCTAGTAATTCAATGTTGGCTTCATATCAGAAAACCAACTCTTGTAATTTGTATTACTAAGAAGTCAAGAATAAAATTTATATGATTATCCCAATAAATGCAAAAAGCATTTAATAACAGCCAATTCCCACCCTTGATTAAAAATAATAATAACTTTAAAAACTACTAATAGAACTTTCTTAATCTATAAAAAGTAACTACACGTGGTAATAACTTGCTTAATGATAAAACACTGATTTTAATGATAAAACAGCTTTCTGCAAGGATCAGAAACAGCACAGAAATGTCTAATATGCTGACTTCCAGCCAAATTTTTAAATTAACAGCCCCTATATCATCAAATGGGGCTCCTCAGGTGGCGCTAATGGTAAAGAATCCATCTGCCAATGCAGAACACCAGTTCAATGCCTGGGTCAGGAAGACCCCCCGGAGGAGGGCACGGCAACCCACTCCAGTATTCTTGCCTGGAGAATCCCACGGACAGAGGAGCCTGGCAGGCCACGGTCCATAATGCAAAGAGTTGGAAACAACTGAAATGACTTAGCACGCACATGCATATTATCAAGCAAGGCAAAAAAGTAAGGCTCTATCAGGGTTTAAAAGGGAAACATGAAAGCCATTATTTGGCTCCTACTTAGCGGTGTGTGCAGAAAAGCCAAAGAAAGATGGTCCACAGTAACTTAATCCGGAAGCCCTGGGAAGGTTTGCTTAGAGACTGAAGAAGTACCGAAAGGGAGAGCTTTGCACTTCATGGAGGGAGAAAGAGAACTCCAGGGAAAAAGTCAAGGGGATCCCAGATGCAGGAAGGAGGGCGGTGACTAGGAGTCACCAGTGATCGTGTTCAGGGGCCAGACAGAGAATAAGGACGCATAGCCATCCTTCCACGGAGAATGACAAGCTACAGAAAAGTTCTAAGACCAGGAGTTTTGAGGTTACATTTCTTCTTTACAAAAATGGCCCTAGTTCCTTGTGGGATCAGACTGAAAAGTGATGAAGTTTCCTCTAGAAAGTTAGGAGGCTCCTGGGGACAGGACAACGAGGATGGTGGCCGCTGGCAGGCAAAGTGAAAGTCGCTCAGTTGTGCCTGAATCTTTGTGACCCCATGGACTATACAGTCCACGGAATTCTCCAGGCCAGAATACTGGAGTGGGGAGCCTTTCCCTTCTCCAGGGGATCTTTCCCACCCAAGGATCGAACCCAGGTCTCCCTCATTGCAGGCGGATTTTTTACCAGCTGAGCAACCAGGGAAGCTGTGGACTAAATGATATTTGGGAGAGAAAGTCACCTGAAAAGTATGAGCAAAAGAAAGGAAATTAAAACCATTCAACACAGATTTAGAGAACAAACTTATGGTTACCAAGGGGAAAGAGGGATTTGTACACACGCTAGATTTAAAATGGATAACCAACAAGGATCTGCCCTATAGCACACAGAACTCTGCTGAGTGTCATGTGGCAGCCTGGATAGGAGCGGGGTTTGGAGGTGAATGGATTACACGTATGTGGATGGCTGGGTCCCTTCACCGTGCACCTGGAACCATCACAACCTTGCTTATCGGCTCTACTTCAGTATAAAATACAGACTTTAAAATTATTCAAGCAGTGGTCTACCGATAATGTGACTAAGAAGTTAACAGGAAGAAGAATCAGCAAGACGCTATGGAAAGAGAGACAATGGTACAAAACTCACAAGGGGCAAGGCAGTAGCAGAGACCAAAGTAATCAGGCTCTGCCACTTCATGCTGATGACTCAATTCCATTAATTCTGAAAGAAGTATTTAATTTTAAGTGTATTTACAGTGGCAGGCAATTTATCCAAGTGTTAAGACGCTGCCCTGAATTTTCATAGGTTAATCAGCACCTGACAATTTATTACTTGTAAAGAAATCTCAGATTTCACATTTACATGAAAATTACTTAATCAATTGCTCAGTGGAGGAGGAAAAAAAAGGGGGGTGTAATCCAAACGGGATAGCAGACATGTGCATAATCAGATTTCTCTGTAGACCTTCTGATTGAATTGCTCTGAGTTGAATTTAATGAAATCAATGAGAGAGAGAGAGAGAAACAGAGTCTGAGATTACATACTACCAAAAGCCATCCACGTATTGGAAGAAGTAACACATATAAACCAGAGTAGAACCAAGCAAATCAATCCTCCGTGCTGTTTGTCATCTAAGTGATATATCTGTATCTTATTATCAGAGATGTGTGTATAAATTACTTACTCAACACACAAAGGCATTTCTTGATAATTTGGAAAAACTTATCTTTTTTCATGCAAATAGAGGCAAGCCCTCCAAGCTCACTTAGCTTTTCCTCTCTGGTTTCCTTTTCCAGATCTAAGCAGCTGAGTTAAACCAGATGAAACAAACAGCATTTTTATAACTGATTTACAGATCCTGCAGGTTCTAAGCAGGATCATCTCCTCCAGCAAACATGACAACAGGAAAGTTGTCTGCCCTCAGGGTTTTCACTTTTAACAACTCTGAAGCATGGATCGTTGCTGAAACTGAAAAGAATAGACCTGAACTCTGAGAAATCCACCTTAAGCTACGGGCACGACCCTAAGTAACAAAGAGCCCACTCCTTGTAACATTAGCAGCACGGAAGTGAGAATATATGCAGCAAGACAAAGCCGTGCCAGAGCCAATTTCAAGGGCACTTACGTAAATCTGATTGTTCCCAAAGCGCTTCTGAATTTCGTAAAGCAGGCTGCTGTCGGTGAGCTCGCTGAGCGTCGCCAGGTCATCATTGGGAGCGGGAGGCATCAGCTTGACCTGAGGGAAAATCAGGTAAGATGAATTCTAACTGCTTCCCAATCAACTGTCCTCACAGCTGAAAGTTCCAGTTTCAATTACATGTCAAAAGTTTAGAGACCACGTGATTAAAAGATGATATGGCTCACTTAAATGGAGCAAAAAAAACCTCAACAACCGTAGCAATGTACTCAGATGAGAATCTGTTTCTGTGCCCACCAGCCTGCACATGGACGCACACACACACACCAACACACACACGCCTCCTGTGACCCAGCATCCATCACACCCTGAAGTCTGTCTAATTTGCCGGCCCTGAACTGAGCTGAGCCTTCTGCAAGGCCAGTTGTTAAAGCACTCATGCTTCGAAAACTAAAGGAAACCTCTTCTCAGGAAACTGAAATGGGAAGAAAGCAGTGTTCACAGACGTTAGCTTCCGCACATATGAAAGAAGGTGCTGGAATTCCACAACAGTCTCTAGAATTTTGGCTTGTAATTTTTATTCTGTCCTACATTACTCTTAAGGCAGTGGTGAGGTTAAGGTAATTCTGCTAGAAAGAAAGAATAAACTGTTTTCCTACTCAATTTAATGTTGACTGACAGAGTTGAAAAACTGGAAAATACTTCAAATAAAAAATGAGATGAATTTGAACTATTTAATTAGATGAAAATCTATCATTTACAGGTCAGAAATGGGCAATGTTTAGTTTTACAGACATAGACAAACGTCTCTAGCAAGTTACCATACATGTTGAACTTCCAAAGCAACCGTAAAAGAGAAAATCCAAGAGCAGGATTTTTTTTTTTCCTTTAGAAGTAATGATTTATGCTAAGATAATAAAATTCTCTTATAGTCACTGCTTTAAGGAGCTGAATGCAAATTTCTGAGTGCACATTAACGTTAAAAAAAAAAAAAAAAGCATGAACAGCATTGACAGAAGTTTCACATTTGTCCCAGCGAGCCTGAAAGAACTATTGCAGCATCTCCTTGGAATTCTTGAGGATTTTCATCTACAGTCACAGCTGCTCCATGGTGAGAGAAAGTACTAGGCTGACAGTAAACATGTGAAGACTTCCCAGCCGGCTTGTCGTGATGAAACATGAAAATACAGAGTTCGGGCAGATCAAGGGAAGAATTCCTTGTATTTATCATGTCACATTCCAGACTGATCAGGAAAGAAGCTCTGATAATCAGTCTTAAGCAAGGCTCCCCAAGGGACACATACTTTATAAAGATTCCTGAAGCATTATGACAGCTGACAACCAGTAGAAAGAAAAACAGAAGTATGTCTGCGGATATTTTTATGTTCAGAGCTGAAGGCTCAGTAGTGTACGCTACCAATGGCTCCCAAACAATTACAACTAGAGTCAAAACAGAGACAGCATAAATATGTAAAAAAACAAAAAATTAACATCTTCACTAGGATCGATCATCATGGTTCTTATGACGCTACACACATATCCATGTGCATTGCTGGGATTAGTCGTGTCTTACTCTTCCTGAGCCCCATGGACTGGAGTCCGCCAGGCTCCTCTGTCCACGGGGGTTCTCCAGGCAGTAATACTGGAGCAAGTTGCCATGCCCTCCTCCAGGATATATGTGCATACACACATGTACTTTCTCCTCTTTATATATCCTCAGAGAAGGAAATGGCTACCCACTCCAGTCATTCTGCCCGAGAAGCACCACCACAGACAGGGGAGCCTGGTGGGCTACAGGCCACGGGGGTCACAAACAGTCAGACACGACTGAGCATGCACACTTCATGTACAGATATACTTCCAAAACTAGAGATCTCAAACACAAGACATACATAATTCAGGGTGGAAAGTCAGGGAGAAACTAGAGAAGCATCTTGATAAATGTTTTAAGATCCGAAAGGAATTTACGTCTTGGAAATACTCTGAATTCACCCCTTCGTGTTCCCACTTGTCAACACGGCAGTGAGTGCTGTCAGACTTACTGCTTTGTTCTCTTTTGTTTGACTGTTTTCTCTCTATGGGACATAAGTAGTGTATGTCAAGGAACCAGAAATTCAGTGGGCAAAGAGGAGTTCTGACAAATGGAATAAGTACAAGAAGACCCTGGGGAAACATTTAGGAGGAAAGAACCAAGGATGCATGAATGAAGAGGAAAGAGGAAATTAAAAGAAGGAAAATAGAGCTGCCTGGGATGGTCCTACCAGGGAAAGGGGCGACGACCTGACCAAACACCGCGCTTCCCAAAGCTGAAGCCCTCATCCTGCCTGCACAGCACTTAACTGTGGCTACCTGCTTGGGGGGCTTCCCTGAGAGCTCAGAGGCAGAGACCCGTAACTTCAGCTGCTTTTGCCATTTCGTGCTTTGCAGAGCTTCCCTGGTGGCCCAGACGGCAAAGAATCTGCCCGCAATGCAGGAGGACTGGTTTCCATCCCTGGGTCGGGAAGATCCCCTGGAGAAGGCATGGAACCCACTCCACTATCCTTGCTTGGAGAACCCCATGGACAGAGGAGCCTGGAGGGCTGCAGTCTGTGGGTTCACAAAGAGTCGGACACGACTGAGCGACTTACCCTTGACGCTGGCTTTTTACTGCCTGAGACATTTCTTAGAGAGTGCAGTTTATCAGGTCCTTCGCTTGCTGAGGATTTACGCTTTTGTGTGCCTGGGTGTTGGTACAGAAAGAGAACCACTGCCAACCTTCAAAATCCCTCTAGGCACATGCAGTGTGGGACACACACTTTGTCTCCCAGGCATACAACTGTCCTGGGTCAGTAGGGCTGTGAGAAATGAACCTGGAGCTTGCAGTCTTTTCCCCAAAGAGCACTGGACACTGTGTAAAAGGAACACTTGTGATTCTAGGCATCTTGAGTTTGTTTGGTCAGCTGAAACACTCAATTTGAAACTTGAGTGTCAGTTAAGAAGTGAAAATGAATTTTGAGAATTAAGATAATATATGTGAAAGTGTTTTTGTAAGCTCTTAAAGTACGATTTTGTATTGTTATTTTTAAAAAGTAATTTATACTTACATTGCCAAAAAGAGGAATTATATGAAGTAAGAACAGACAAATGAATGCACAGAAGACTAAGCTACATGGGCAAAACCTTACAGTCCGTCCATACAAGTAACAATCTCGAAAGCAGTAACTGTGCCTTACTGAGTGCTTATTCATGCTTGGTAACTGTGCTGTCATATTGCAAGCTTAGCCTTTGTCATCTTCAGAACAACCAAGTAAGCTGACTAATATGTTCCCGTTTCACAGACAGGGCTTAGTGAGTTTAAGGGGCTCCCAGGGCACAGAGCTCCGGAAGCAGTCCCGAACCGGAGCAAGTCTGCATGACTGCGTCCTCCTCTCTCTTCACTCCCAGGAAAACACACCTTCACGAAACAGAATACAATGACCTGAATTTTAAGCTGGAGCCAAATTTAAATAAATATACTATGAAAGGAAAGAAGAGAGAGGAGAAGAGACAGAAGTCAAACAGGTGGAAAACTAAAAAGAGCATGGAAGAGGGCAGGCAGAGAGAGGCGGAATGGAAGGCAAGAACAGTACAAAGTGAAAGAGAAAAAGAATATCATACATTTTTAAGCATTTTTAAAAAAAGCCTACATTCTCAGAGATATGATAAAGCTAATGTGAATTTTGATCACTATCAGAATCAAGAAAAAAACGTTCAAATCAAGCCTTGAATATTCATTTATGTAGTTTCTTGTTGTTTAGCCACTAAGTTGTGTCCTGCTCTCTGTGATCCCACAGACTGCAGCCTGCCAGGCTCCTCTGTCCACGGGATTTCTCAGGCAAGAATACTGGAGTGCATCGCCATTTCCTCCTCCAGGGGATCTTCCTGAACCAGGGATTGAACCCACGTCTCCTGCTTGGCAGGCAGGTTCTTTATCACTGAGCCACCTGGGAAGTCCCACTTATGAAGTTATTATCATTTGATAAGACCTACATTTTGTAAAAATCTGGAAGGAGAGATGCTGTGGATTTTGTTCATCTTGAATTACACACGATATGTTTCTCTTTAAACCGTGAATCAGAACTTGATTGCTCTGAGAAGGCTTCTCTAAAGCCCTCCTGGGAAGTGTAGGTGAAGAATCCAGTTGATGGGATAGTCCTGCTGAGAAACCAAGCAGCTCGAGGCCAAGAATGAGTGACGACAGTGATGGTGCGATGCTCACAGCAGGAGATATGAGTGAATGAATATCCAACCAGTCCCAGAGGAAATCAGTCCTGAATGTTCATTGGAAGGACTGACGCTGAAGCTGAAATTCCAGTACTTTGGCCACCTGATGCAAAGAACTGACTCACTGGAAAAGACCCTGATGCTGGGAAAGATTGAAGGCAGGAGGAGAAGGGGACGACAGAGGATGAGGTGGTTGGATGGCATCACCAACTCAATAGACATGAGTTTGAGTAAACCCCAAGAGTTGGTGATGGACAGGAAGGCCTGGCGTGCTGCAGTCCATGGGGTTGCAAAGAGCTGGACACGACTGAGTGACTGAACTGATTCCATAGATAACATAAGCACATGAAACCTGAACACTAACTTCTCCTTGTTTGATACCAGATCAATGCAACATGATGACAGCTTCTTTCAATGCCTGTGACACAATTTTAAAGAGCTGACAGGAAAAACTGAAAAGGTATTCCGCAAGGATCACATTTGACATTATGCGGCTAACATCCTTTCATTGCTTTCAGATTTTATTTTTTAGAGTTGCTTTAGATTCACAGCAAAATTGACAGGAAGGGACAGAAATTTCCCATATACGCCAGCCCCCTCCTGCATAGCCTTCCCTATTAACATCCCTCGCCAGGGTGACACTTCTGTTACCATCACAAACCTACACTGAAACATCATTATCACCCAAGGCCCACGGATCACATCAAGGATCAGGATGGGAGGCCTGATCCTTACAGCCTGACCACTCCTACATCCTTTCATCAAGGCCACACTGGTGTTACATGTCCTCTGAATTTGGACATATGTGTGACGTCAGTTATCTACGCTTACAGGGTCATACAGAGAAGTTCCACTGCCCTAAAGACTCCCTTCTCCACCTATGTATTCCCCCCGCCCCAATCCCTGGCAATCTCTAATGATTTCAGTGTCTCAATAGTTTGATTTTCTCTCAAATGTCAAATAGTATAATCATACAGTATACAGCCTTTTCAGACCAGCCTCTGTCACTTAAGAATATGTATTTAAGGTTACAGAATGCTTAAAGGATCTTTAAAAATGTTAAGAAAAAGCTTTGGCTTAAACTTCACCGAACACTCAAAATTTGTCTGTCACTATGGACTGAATGGTTCCCCTCCTCCAAATTCACATGGTGAGGCTCTAACCAGCATAAAACACTTTTTGGAGATAGTGATTAACAACAAGAAAAGGCCCTAAGTCATGTCCAGTTCTTTGCGACCCCGTGGACATGGGGCTCCTACAGTCCGTGGGATTCCTCTGTCCGCGGGATATTCCAGACAAGAATATTGCAGTGGGTTGCCATTTCCTTTTCCAAGGGATCTTCCCAATCGAGGGGTCGAAACTGTGTCTCCTGCATTGCAGGCAGATTCTTCACCACTGAGCCAGCAGGGAAGCTGGATAGGGTCTTTAGGAGGTTATAAAGGTGAAGGGAGGTCAAAAGGGTGGTGACCCGAACCTATAGGATTAGTGTCCTTAAAAGAGACAGCAAAGAGGCTGTTTGTTGTCTCTGTACCATGTGAAGACACAGGGAGAAAGCGGTGGTCTGCAAGTCAGAAAGAAGACCTTCACCAGAAACGAGTCAGCCCGTGCCCTGATACTGAACTTCCAGTCTCCAGAACTGCAAGAAAAAAGCTTTCTGGGGTTTAAGCCACTCCGTGTGTTGTCTTTCATTCTGGAAGCCTCAGCTGATGAATATACCTACTAAAATGTAAAGATATGTCAAAATTACAAAACTGAGTTTGTTATTTTAAAATAACAGAAATGAATGAAACTAAAAGTAGAGGTTCTTGAGAAAATCTCAGCAAAGTGTCTTTAAAACATTCAAAATTAGATACAGTAGACAAACAAAATACTTTCAGAGATTACTCTGACATTTATAAAACGACTCTGTCATTTATAAAACATGAAATGTATAAAAGTCATTTATTTCTGTGGAACTGATGACCAAATACATTAATTTCTATAACCCCAAGCTCCTCAAAGTAATTTCCCATCTTTTGGACACTGTGACAAACACACATACACACACACAATACACCAGCACAGTTGCATTTAACACGTCACTCAGTGACTGACTTGCTTTCTTTTCTTGTTATGTAAAATATTTGATATTTGTAAGAAAAAAACACACAGTCTACATAATAGTCAAAATGATGACTAATGCCACAACTGAAAATATTCAGAAATTTAGCATGTTAGCTGAACTCCCATTCCTGATAAGTCCAGATTACAAAATTCAAATCCTTGTGAAATACAACAGCAATATTTGTTAATGGTCAGTGTAATACCGTAACAATTTACATATGGGCATTTCACAAAATACCTGCATTCATTAATTTTTCTTTGAATGGAAATTACTGGGAGCTTATTCTGAAAAGTTGGCTCTAAGGCATGAGGTCATGGCTGCAGCCGTGGCAGGCGTGCAGGGAGCGTGTGATTACCTGCTCAGGCTTGGTGGGGCCGTGCAGGGCGGCGTTCTCCACTGTGCTGTCCTGAGACTGTCGCTTGCACAGACCTTTTGTTGCATCTTTGAACATAATGTCTTTTTCCAACAAGCTGTCCTGCTTGGCGATTGGCAATACCAGGGGACTGCTGTAGGGAAAATCCATGCTATAATTAGTCTCCTAAAGTTGCCACCTCAATCAAAAACTATAGTGACCAAACAGCTCAGTAACAGAAAGTTGTCCGGTTTACATAAGAAACAGTCTCAACGCTGCAGGGAAAATCAGTGAGAAACCTGAAGCTTTTCTATCAGCTCCAGATTTCATTCAGCTTTACTTCCAAGACAAACATATATTTATTTCAACTGGAGAAGAAAATGTTTATGAATGTATAGTATATATAACTTAACAGATGACCAATGGGCAACTTAATAGCTAAGGTTGAAACTTGTGATTGAACTAAGCAAAACATCTAAATATGAACATGAACAACAAACAAGTAAAAGCAACATTCTGCAGTTAATTAAATTATTATTCATATAGGATTTAAAATATATTATAGAATCATAGGAAAGTTGCTCAGTTGTATTTGACTCTTTGTGACCCCGTGGACTACACAGTCTGGCCTGGAATTCTCCAGGCCAGAATACTGGAGTGGGTAGCTGTTCCCTCCTCCAGGGGATCTTCCAAACCCAGGGATTGAACCCAGGTTTTTCGCATTGCAGGGGGATTCTTTACCATCTGAGTCACCAGGAGAGCTCTAAAAAATCATGGGAAACAGTTAAAATAGTTTGTGATGAAATGATAACAAGGGGATGAAAACTGAACAACACACTAAAGGGCTACATTGTTACAAACAATTCTAGAAGTTCTATTGCTTCTTTGCCATTCAATTTAGGCAAAGAATAAATAAATGAAACTTGTATCATTTTTGTTGTTGCGGTTCTCCCAGGTTCTCCCATTGACGTTGTGCCAAAAGAGAGCTCAGTTTGGTTCAGTTCAGTTCAGTCGCTCAGTCATGTCCACCTCTTTGCGACCCCATGGAATGCAGCATGCCAGGCCTCCCTGTCCATCAGCAAATCCAGGAGTTTACTCAAACTCATGTCCATTGATCCCCTGATGCCATCCAACCATCTCATCCTCTGTTGTCCCCATCTCCTCCCGCCTTCAATTTTTCCCAGCATCAGAGTCTTTTCCAAAGAGTCAGATCTTCCCATCAGGTGGCCAGAGAATAGGAGTTTCATCTTCAGCATCACTCCTTCCAATGAATATTCAGGACTGATCTCCTTTAGGATGGACTGGTTGGATCTCCTTGCACTCCAAGGAACTCTCAAGAGTCTTTTCCAACATCACATTTCAAAACCATCAATTCTTCAGTGTTCGGCTTTCTTTATAGTCCAACTCTCACATTCATACATGATTACTGAAAAAACCATAGCTTTGACTACATGGACCTTTGTTGGCAAAGTAATGTCTCTACTTTTTAATATGCTGTCTAGGTTGGTCATACCTTTTCTTCCAAGTAGTGAGCATCCTTTAATTTCATGGCTGTAGTCACCACCTACAGTGATTTTGGAGCCTAAAAAAATTAAGTCAAGTGGGCCTTAGGAAGATCACTACAAACAAAGCTAGTGTAGGTGATGGAATTCCAGTTGAGCTATTTCAAATCCTAAAAGATGATGCTGTGAAAGTGCTACACTCAATATGCCAGCAAATTTGTGAAACTCAGCAGTGGCCACAGGACAGGACAAGGTCAGCTTTCATTCTAATTCCTAAGAAAGGCAATACCAAAAATGTTCGAACTACCACACACTTACACTCATCTTACATGCTAGTAAAGTAATGCTCAAAATTCTCCAAGCCAGGCCTCAACAGTATGTGAACCATGAACTTCCAGATGTTCAAGCTGGATTTAAAAAGGCAGAGCAACCAGAGATCAAATTGCCAACATCCCCTGTATCATCAAAAAAGCAAGAGAGTTCCAGAAAAACATCTACTTCTGCTTTATTGACTATGCCAAAGCCTTTGAATGTGTGGATCACAACAAACTGTAGAAAATTCTGAAAGAGATGGGAATACCAGACCACCTGACCTGCCTCTTGAGAAACCTGTATGCAGGTCAGGAAGCAACAGTTAGAACTGGACATGGAACAACAGACTGGTTCCAAATAGGAAAAGGAGTACGTCAAGGCTGTATATTGTCACCCTGCTTATTTAACTTATATGCAGAGTACATCATGAGAAACGCTGGGCTGGAAGAAGCACAAGCTGGAATCAAGATTGCCGGGAGAAATATCAATAACCTCAGATATGCAGATGACACCACCCTTATGGCAGAAAGTGAAGAAGAACTAAAGAGCCTCTTGATGAAAGTGAAAGAGGAGAGTGAAAAAGTTGGCTTAAAGCTCAACATTAAGAAAATTAAGATCACGGCATCTAGTCCCATCACTTCATGGGAAATAGATGGGGAAACAGTGGAAACAGTGGCTGACTTTATTTTTTGGGGCTCCAAAATCACTGCAGATGATTTTGACTGCAGCCATGACATTAAAAGACACTTGCTCCTTGAAAGGAAAGTTTTGACCAACCTATACAGCTTATTAAAAAGCAGAGCTATTACTTTGCCAACAAAGATCCATGTACTCAAAGCTATGGTTTCTCCAGTAGCCATATATGGATGTGAGAGTTGGACTATAAAGAAAGCTGAGCACCAAAGAATTGATGCTTTTGAACTGTGGTGTTGGAGAAGACTCTTGAGAGTCCCTTGGACTGCAAGGAGATCCAACCAGTTCATCCTAAAGGAGATCAGTCCTGGGTGTTCATTGGAAGGGCTGATGCTGAAACTGAAACTCCAGTCTTTTGGCCTCCTGAATTGAAGAACTGATTCATTGGAAAAGACCCTGATGCTAGGAAAGATTGAAGGTGGGAAGAGAAGGGGATGACAGAGGATGAGACAGTCAGATGGCATCACGGACTCGATGGACATGAGTTTGAATAAACTCTGGGAGCTGGTGACAGACAGGGAGGCCTGGTGTGCTGCAGTCCATGGGGTCGCAAAGAGTCAGACATGACTGAGCGACTGAACTGAACTGACTGAAAAGGAGGAAGAGGCTCCCCCAGTGGCTCAGTAGTAAAGAGTCTGCCACCAATGCAGGAGATTCAGGAGAGAAGAAGATGTGGGTTCGATCCCTGAGTTGGGAAGATCCCCTGGAGGAGGGCATGGCAATCCATTCCAGTACTGTTGCCTGGAGAATCTCATGGACAGGGAAGCCTGCCAGGCTACAGTCCACAGTGTCACAGAGAGTTAGGCATGACTGAAGCTGCTGACCCAGCACGCACGCAAAACGAAGAACTGGTGAGTTTACTAAACAGTTGAAATACTTCTTTCACATCCCAAATCTAATCGCAGTGTTAATAGAAGGCTCTTTGAAAGATACACTTGAAATAAGACTGGTCCAGGAATAATATAGTGACCTCATTCTACGTCAGTCCTGACCTCAACTTGGCTTCTACTTGACCTTCTAACACCTTTAACATCCCTGGGCCACAGTTCCATGTTTGCCAAATGCAGGAATTAGAATATCTACATGTATTTCAAGTTGTAATGTTCAGTGATGCTAACACACTCACCTGCATTTAAAAATATCATTTATACACTCAATAAGATCACAGGTTGTAAACCCTTGACTTACTACCAACAATAATTACAAACACCCACATTCATGTAAGAAGAATGCCTTGGAATGATTTGGTTGGGTTGATAGACAGCATATTAATTAGTCATGCAGATATTTTCTGTGAGAAAGTGAAAAACATGCACTTAGGTTCATGGCATGTGTTAATGTTTTGACATCTATAGAACAATTTTTCTTCAGACTTCTATTTTTAAAATAGAACACATTTTATCCATAATCACTGTGGTTAACAATAGCATCCCCATGTTAATGTCTATATATTTAGCTTTTCATTGATTATCCATTTTTAGAACATAAACATATATTAAAATTCTATTCTTTTAGGAAAAGGAAGACTCTGGAAGTAATCATTGGTATTTTAATGGTCATTAAACCTTTATCAATTATGGCAAAATATTTTACATAAGGTTAATTTAAAAGATAAGTGCAATTATAGAGAAAGATGAATTCAGCTTCATAAACAAGAAACATATAAAGCATATGAAGAAATATGCTGAGTGAATAGCAGTTTGCATCAAAAAGATGGACTCATGCTGAAGAAGGTAGTAACATTCCTCTCATTCCAACAGAGCTTCTCCCTGCTCCAGACCCCTGACCCTTCACTTCTTAGAGAACTTACTTAAGATTATGATTTTTTTTAATCTCTGCCTGCCTTTAAGATGTAAACCCCTCTTAGGCTTACAAGGGCTTCCCAGGAGGCGCTAGTGGTAAAGAACCTGCTTGCCTTGAATCTATAGATTGCACTGGGTAGTATACTCATTTTCACTATATTGATTCTTCTGATCCATGAACACGCTATATTTCTCCATCTACTTGTGTCCTCTTTGATTTCTTTCACCAGTGTTTTATAGTTTTCTATATATAGGTTTTTTGTTTCTTTAGGTAGATATAGTCCTAACTATTTTATTCTTTTCCTTGCAATGGTGAATGGAATTGTTTCCTTAATTTCTCTTTCTGTTTTCTCATTGTTAGTGTACAGGAATGCAAGGGATTTCCGTGTGTTAATTTTATATCCTGAAACTTTACTATATTCATTGATTAGCTCTAGTAATTTTCTGGTGGAGTCTTTAGGGTTTTCTATGCAGAGGATCATGTCATCTGCAAACAGTGAGAGTTTTACTTCTTCTTTTCCAACCTGGATTCCTTTTATTTCTTTGAAACATGTAAATTATATGTGGAATGAATCACCAGTCCAGGTTCCATGCATGATACAGGGTGCTCGGGGCTGGTGCACTGGGAAGACCTAGAGGGATAGGATGGGGAGGGAGGTGGGAGGGGTTTCAGGATGGGGAATGCATGTACACCCATAGTGGATTCAAGTCAATCTATGGCAAAACCAATACAACATTGTAAAGTAAAATAAATAAACAAATAAATAAATGAATAAAAATAAAGACACTCAGAAAAAAGAAAAGAACCTGCCTGCCAATGCAGGAGATGTAAAAGACATGGCTTC